TTTCGTTTTGAACTCCTTGTTGTGCTTGTGAAAATTTTGTTTTACTGATGAGACCACGTTAACAGTGGGAGTTAAAGAGGATGCGCGAATGATGGATGAAGAACTGTTTTATTTAGACAGTCTTTTTTATATTGTTCGTCTGAGAATGTTTTGATGGGTAATCAAATTGTCATTTGATGAGCATTAAGTGAGATAGGGTTATTCGTGTTCAGTTGAATGGCGAATTGATTAACGATTTTGGTGAGCGTTGATGGAATGCGGATTGAGTAAACGGTCGATTCGGTTCAGAAACGATGAACTCATCCACTTATTTGTTCTTCAGTTGTAGTCACTCAGCGCAGTATAGCATTTGTTATTGGTGGCTTCTTGATTTGTTTCACTCATCGTCAGCACAAGAGCTGGAAAATTATAGGAGACTCGTTGAACGTGTATTTCAGGCTGAATGTTTTGATTTACTGGTGCCGTATGTTGGCGAATTAGTTGGTGGTTCATTGAGAGAGAGGGACGCTGATGTGGTTCGGTCACGAGGAGGTGACTCGTCGTCGTTGGATTGGTATTATGAATTGAGAGCGAACGGTAGGCAGCCACCAAGCGCTGGATTCGGCGTTGGAATGGAACGCTTCATGCAGTCCTTATTCGGTATTGTTAGCATCAAAGACGCAATCCCATTCCCGAGATGGTATAAACATTGTCAGTGTTAAGCGATTCGGTTACTCATAGGTGACAAGTGATAATATCAACTAACATATCTGAACAATTATTTCATTATGAGTTGTTGTAATTCTCAGTTGTTTCATGTGGAAACGGTTCGCATTTAGCGGATGTATTCTTATAGCTGTTTTCGATTTGATAATCTGATAAAGCTTCACTTAGTTTTGAAATGAATCAGTCTTGTCAGCATATTTTATCACTCGTTGTGTATCATTGATGTATCTCTTTGATCGATGCTCACCAGGAATTCATACTTCATTATATCGTCTTTCTAGTCTTTTCTTTGGAATATGGAGGTTTGGAGGTTTGGATTAAGACATATATTAATTGTTAATACTCGATATAATGTTGCTGCCAGTAGCAGTGATGGATGAATTGTTATTCTCATTTAAAATGCAACATTTCAGGATGGTTGACATTAATGTTGAGTTGCTTTGTTGTTATTTGAATAGTTGATTGTGTCTTTTGCAGTAAATATTGTTTTGTGGACGATCCATTGAGAAATAAACGTTCATTTCATTTACTGTTGACCATTGCTGTGGATATTCATGTTGGAATCACTGATTTGTATACTATAGTTAAAGTTTTTGTTGTTTCAGTTTGGAATTCTTCATCTTCTGTGTGAATTGCTCTTTTAATTTTCATTTCAAGATCTCTCTAGATTATTCATTCGCTTTGAAATATGTCACGGTTTGAAAAGTCGATGTATAATAACATCATTCACCGGAATTCAGCGAATTTTGTTGGTTGCCAATAGACGTGTGTTCAGTGAATATGATCTTTATTGTTTCCAGTGAACTGATAGTCTTGACTGCTCCCATGTTTAACGAGAGTCGAGATTGTTGAGCGGTTAAATTTCGCGCAGTTTTCCCAGTTATAAGACACCTCTTGAAGCGTTGATTAATATGAAAACGCGTATTGTTATCACCTGATTCATCATATTGATAGACGAAATTAGCAANCGAGCATTCAGGAGTTTAAAGGATCGTTTATTCTTTACATGTTTGTGGTCGACGATTAGATATGGTCAAACTTAAAAACAGGTAAATTTCAGTCATCGATTTTGATTTATTTGTTTATCAATTCGATTTTTTTAAATTTATTAATGTGATAAATGTAATATTAGAAATCATTCACGAATGTTTTCACTGAGTATTGCAAAAAAAATGTCTTCTACGCTCAGAGCTAACATTTGTAAATGTCTTAAATCAATCATCAACAAAGTAGAATGTATTTTGAGCTCATTTTTTATTATTTGTGCTAAAAATTCTTTCTTTTTGATTGTCAAGAATGTGCGTAAAAGAATGTATGAATCATATCGTTATAATTTATGTACAACGATAATTGTGTATTATTCACACAGGAATAGTATCATTCACGTTTCATTTCTGAAATATTCGCTGTGAAGAAGCTTGAAATCTGTTGGTCGTTTTTTTTCGGTGATGTTTGTTGCTTCAATTCGCAAGAAACTGACTTATCGTTCAATGAAATTAACCTCACATTGATTTGATTGCCACACATCGTTTATAACAATTTGAGGTATTTATTAATTGAACTATTGTTCGATACGAATGCGACTGGCGTTGTCACTGATTCCGCGATCTATTCAGCCATTTGTAAACAAATTGCCACATTATACGGCGATTTTGGTTTTGCTGCCGCCAAATCATCGCTTGCGATCAAGGTTTTTGTTTGTTGTTCTTCTTATTATCATCATTCTCGCCGTTGTTATCTTTTGGTTCATTTTTATCCCGATGGTTCCGATTGAAATGTTGCAATTGTGTGCAAAAATCCAAGATAAACTCGTCCAAAAAAATGTAAGAATCGCTTTGCATGTGTTTCAGTGCAGTGCTTCATTGTTTTAATTATTTGCAACAGTTTTCATTCGACGTAAAGAAAGCATCAGATTGCAACCAAAAGCAGTGTGTTCGAAGTATTTGAATTGATAAAATGCAATTCATTATCAAACAGTTATATTTGGAATGTATTCACGCGCAGAGTATAACACGTAATCGAATGCTATCCTCGCATTATCAGTAGATTGGTTCCGTTGAACGATAGTTTCATGCCAGTAACATATCGCAGGAATTGTTGTCATAGTCCTTTTCGGTTCTTTTATGTACAGATTGTAATTGCATTGGTATAATGTAAGAACACTTTTCCAACACTTTGAAAAATCGTGATCGATTTTGGTGTATTATGAACAGTGTTGATAGATTATGACTTCATTAGGTTTATATGTTTAGAGCTAGAATGGAAGATGAAATGTGCATATTGATTATAGATAAGAGATTGAAATGTTTGGTGATAGATGAGATAAAAAGGGTGATATGGTGTTGGTAGTGAGGAGGGATTTTTTAATGATTTTAGCTTTTTTTGGTAATTTGTAAAACTTTCATTGCACTTTGAATTATTTGGTTTAGTTTTCGTTAAGTGATTACTGACGATTATTATTGTTCTTTAGTGATTGTTGACGTTCTTTTTAAGTGTCAAATATTGTTTATGTGATGATTTTGTTCACGGGAATTGTGATATTAATAGAATCGTTGATATCGGTAATTACGCTCTTAATAACATTGATGTGGCAACAATACAGTTTTTATCATTACTTTGTGGCGATGATTAAAGTGATAACGGCAATTTTAACATTGAAAATGAAATTTCCAGGTGTTTGACAGTGAAGCAGCAACGAGTATAATTCGAGTATCGGTGGAGTCACTGAACCGATTGCTCGCTTCGATTCCATTCGTTAATTCCATTGCAAATGTTCCAGTAGTTATCAAGCTTCTTTTCATCGGTAATTACATAGTTATTGTGCATACGAAAATTGTGAAAGAATTGCGTCTGGACGACGAGTTTAATTTGTTTTGAATTTCGATAGCAGTTGCTGGGTCTTGTGAGTTGGTTTAGCGATTTGCAAATTAGGTGAAACGAGTGGTAATATGAGATAGCAAGAGAAATATAGTTGAATGAGTGTAGTGTTTTGTATTGTTGACTTGAGTTGTTCGACTTTGAGTGACTCGTTTAGGGTGGTGCACATTTCTAATGAAGTGGTATTGAAATAAGCACTTTTTGTTCAGTTATGAGTTCATGTGGAAAATTTTAGGATCTTCGATTCGATCTTGTGAAAGGGCACTTTTGAGGATCAATAGACGACGATTGTATGCTTCTTTGAGGAG